AAAGCATGTTGGGCCTCATTGAACATGCAAGCGGCTCTTACTGCATTCATCAACACTTGGTCCTCCTCGGTTACCAAGCACATCAGGTAACTAGCAATCCCCACCGGGGGAGAGAAGAACCGGGCACCTTTTGGAACTGTGACCACTATGTTGCGCCTACGATCTGGGTTAGCACTCGGGGCCGGGAATCGGTCCACCAGCATCGGGCTAGACGAAGATCTAGCAGCACCCGATGATGGTGCTTTCTTTGGAACCGTTAAATCACCAAGCCCGGTGACATCTCCCAAAGCGACAAGCTCTACCCCGTCTAAGAAGCCATGGATATCAACCACCCCTGAGGGCCGTCGTAGGAACAACCCTCTAACATATTGGCCTCATGGATCATGGCGTCCGAAATTTGAGGGGATTCAGAGTTACTGATCACTCCGAGGTCATCCCTTGGGATATTTTCAGCTACTCGGGGAACCTTGCCCCCAATTTCTCCCTTGACCAACTCAGCTCGAGACGGAGTGACATCAATCTCCTCCGGTTCGAAGGGCTTTTATACGGTGGCATCGGCCCGCACACGGGCCACCAACCGACATTCTTCTTCTTCTCCTTCTCCTTCTTCAGGCTCATTCCTCAAACGGTGGACTAAGTCCGGGGATAGAGCATCGGTACAACCCTTGGTTTTTCGGGTTTGCTTCTTTTTAGGCTTCTGCCCCTCTGAATCAGTATGGCTCGGGGCCCCTTTCCTCTTTTTCTCCTTCACTGGCTTTGGGACAGATGGCTGAGGAAGGACTTTTTCATCACCAGGTAGGGGCCTCATATCCACGTCCTTCCCGAGACCTATGAGAAAAGAAGAGGAATAAGCCTGAGAAAAGGTCCGAGGGCGACCAATTAGTAAATCAAAGAAGAAACTTACCATGATTGTGAGGCTTCCACCAGCCTTTCGACAGCTCCATCCAAGCACACTCAGAATATGGCTTTTGTGACACCAGACCCTCGACCCAATGCTTAAGATCAAGGATTACTTCCGGCACATAGGCCTCCGCTGCAATACCGAGAACATGTATGAGAAAAGAAGATAAGAATAAAATGACAATGATAAACATTCAAGGAGAAGTAATGCTTACGATTCATATTTCATTTTTCTGGAAACAGCATGTCGTCGGCGGGGCTCAGATCCGAAGTCCTTATTCGGACAAATCGGCCTATCCATCCTCAGTCTCAAGCCTCATCTATGCTCAAAAATAGGGGCTCGGTGGCCCGACAATAAAGCTTGATCAAACCTCCTCGATAGAGTCGGGAACTGTAGAGGTGCATGAGGTGATCGAGGCTAAAGGGGCCCCTCTCGATCTTGCTCACAAAGAATCGAAGGAGGATCACTATCCTCCAGAAGGAAGGACAGATCTAACCAAGGGTCACATCGTACCTCTTGCAGAAGGCAACGATGATAGGGTCTAAATGACCCAATGTGAAAGGGTTAGTGTAGACACTTAGAAACCCTTCCACATACATAATGATCGACTCCCCGGGCAAGGGTACCACCACATGTTTATCGACCCAATTGCATTCATTTTTAACTTGGGCAAGGGGGTCTTCGGTAATTGTGCATATTTACGTCGAAACCGCCTCGCATCGACCTGGCACCGAGGGTGTATTTTCTACTTTAAAATCAGCAACAGTGGGGCACTTCGTCGGAACGAAGTCCTCTAGTAGAGGCACGCCACAGTTCTGTCACCTGTGGTCCTTGATGAAGAAGAAACTTCTTTTTGCGGAACAGTTTTGAAGTTTTAGCCATGTGATCTTTGTGGATGAAAAGGGATAAGAACTAATAAAGAGTGCTTGGAATTTTATGATAAATGGGCAAAGAAATACAGAGATCCGAAACTGCCAGCTCTGAAGAAAGCAGTAGATTAGAAGATAAGAGTGAAGAAAATTTGAAAACAAAGTTTGGAAAATACAGAAAGAGGGGGTACTTATAACTTTTCAACGGCGGTTCGTTGCCGGTAATGGCCGACCATCAATTGGCACACATTAAATACCTTGAAAATTATGCCGACGAGACATTTCGATTAACTCAGCTGCTCACGTCATTATGTTTCGAGGTGAAGATCGAGGATTCAAATCGTTTCTTGTCATTTACTCTCCAAAAAATGAGGGAACTATCTGTATACGGGTAAAACCGCGTTCGAAGCTTGACAGAGCTCGAGGCTCTATCGAGCTTCTGGAACGACATCTAAATGGAGATCGAAGTCAAAGGTGAAGCTGGTCCCGATATCGGAATCGGGATGTGATGAACATCGGAGTCGAAAGGACTATCGAAGTCAGGCACCAAGACCGCCGGGCTTGTCCTCGAAGATTATCGAGGGCGTAACTAGCCCCATTTTTAATGTCCTCGGGAAAGCACCGCCAGCTCAGCCGACAAGGGTCCATAATTCTTGCCACTAGCTGATTATTATACATCAAATCACGATATTAGCGAAAAATGAGGCTAACGGTCAGAAAGACCCATGCTTTTCTATTGAATAATGCCCAAAAAGGGGAGGCTTTCCCCTATAAATAGAAGAGATTAAGTTATTGATAAACACATTGTAATACACTCATAAGATATATACGATTGATTCCAAGCTTTCACTTATTGTTGCTCTGTTTTTTTAATTATATCTTCGTTATTATCAGCTAAAGGGAAGTCAACTTCATAAGGCTAAGGCTTGCTTCATTTGCAAAGGTTATATCTATTTTTTATTGTTCATTTCTATATCATTCTAATTTTTTGCCTTTGTATCAAATTATATTACGTATTCTTAGAATCGCGTAGAAATTTAATTGTTATCCGATTTTAAGGGTAAACACTATGAATACGTATAGGGTGTGTGTGAAGAAGTAGTCAGTGTAATGATACCACAAACTAACTGCTCCAAATTCTGCAGTTACGAAATGATATTACGAATGTAAATTTCTAAGATATTTCAAAATTCACACGCCATAAACTTTGAGGGAAAAACAAAGAAAGAGTTAATATGTTTTTCAAAGACTTATATTTTTTTCTCAGTGTTTGGATGGAGGGTGAATAATATTTTTTGAAAAATAAATATTCTTAAAAATTGAAAATAGTGTCAGCAAACTTTAATGAATATTTTTGAATATTAAAATTTGATAATACTGAGTATTACTTACAATTGAGATACGTGTGTTATTTGGTGGAATATATCTTCTTCGAAAAGTATTTGTTCTCATATGACCAAACATCAAATCGATTTAGTAGGCGTTTGGACATAAATTTGATTGAAACTTAAAAAAAAAAAGTTCTTAAAGTCATGTTAAAAAATAAGTTTTGAAAGTTGAAGTTGTATTTGAACATGCATTTTACTTGAAAAAGTTAAAATTTTGTGAAAGAAAAATTTTATCCAAAAATTATCCCAAATCAGTTTTTTCGAATTTATTTTAAAAACTGATCGAATTTCATGAATATACACTTTAAGTCCTTTTTGAAAAATGTAGACCAAATACACACGTACATCTCCTGAGCTACCGGTGATACCAATACATGATAATGACTTCATAAATTTCTTATTTTCCCTTTTATTTTTATTTACATTTTTATGCAAGGTTTATTTTATTTTATTTTATTTTTCCTCTGAGAAAAGAACAAAATTACATTGTCAATCATATCATGAGCTTGCAGTGCTGTGCTGGTCCCTGTCTACCAGGCGTATATTTTTTACCAGAACCCCACTAAACAACTGGATGTATTATATGACGATACAAAAAAGTTAAGCAATTATTAGATTATTAAAAAAAAAAAAGTAATTTAGAAACACAAACTGCCACCGACTAGTGAACAAAATGACCTTTTCATGTGATAGCATAATCGCGTTTAATGAGGATAGATTCGTCAATTTTCTCCAACGGAGATCGCGGATCATGTCAATTTTCTCCAACGGAGATCGCCGATCATGGTCAGACATGAGCGGGGCTAGAATTTAGGTTATGGGTTCGATCGAATCCTAACTTTGGTTCAAATTTTATATTTTTTTAAAATATATTACATATATATATAAATTATTTATTTAAAATAATAGCTTAAAAGAACTAAATCTCGAACTCATAAACTTACATTTTTTATTGAAAGCCACTACTTAGTTTACTCTTGTAAGAACATAAAGTAAGATACAAAAATGGATGGACATTTAAATATTTGCGAATCAATGAGATTTATGTTTATTCATTAAATCAAGTTTCCCTGAAATTGACTTTTGAAGAACGAACTAAATATAAGTCTGAAAAAGCAAATTATAAGAAGGAGAGAATATATTTTGATATTTTTCTTTTGCCTTTTCGGCAGCCAAAAGGTGACCAAAGGGTTAAAACACAGAGAGCAAGTGCAATTCACTCGATCTTGAAAAATTGAGATGTTCTATATATCGTGGTCACATAGGCGGCACATGGACATCTTGGTCTACCTTCCATTAATTTAAACCTTATTTATTACCTACTGGATACAAGTGCTTAAACATATATTTTATCAAAAAATAAAAACATTAAAAAAGAAGTGCTCACACCACCTATTAAGCAAGGGTTTTACTTGAGAGAGCAGGGATAAAACTGAAGCTATAGCCTGCAAAAGAGGGATCAACAACGACAACCCAATGAAATCCCACTAGTCTGGGGAAGTTAGTGTGTACGCAGACCTTACCCCTACCCGGAGGGGCAGAGAGGCTATTTCCGAAAGACCCTCGGCTCAAGAAGGCGATATATCAGTCTAGATATGTATAAGACACCACAGTAAGAAGAAAATTTTGAAATCGCATTATGTAAAGACACCATATAAGCTTAGCATGATACAATTCGATAACATATGTAGAGTCCAAATGGAGCAAATGTGAGCTTAAATGGAATCAACACATCTGTAACAATGGACACTTCTATTATCCAGGCATGTAACTGTATCAACCACTGTATAAAAAGGTTGTTACCTGACTAATATCTGGATATGTTTAAGTCATACACCACAGTAAAAAGAAAATTTTGAAATCGGATTACGTAAAGACACTATATAAGCTTAACATGATACAACTCGATAACATACGTAGAGTCCAAATGGAACAAATGTGAGCTTAAAAGGAATCAACACATCTGTAACAATGGACACTTCTATTTTCCAGGCATGTAACTGTATCAACCACAGTATAAGAAGGTTGTTACCTGACTAATGCATGGATATGTTTAAGTCATACACCACAGTAACAAGAAAATTTTGAAATCAATTTATGTAAAGACACTATATAATCTATTTCAAAAGAAAATGAAACCTAAAAAAAAAAACTAAAGAAAACATTAGAGGCCAAGTCAACTATTTCTCCCTATACGTATGCAGCATGAAAGAAATGGTATCAGCACATCTGTAACGATAGACAACATTAATTTCCCAGACTAGTAGCTGTATTAACCACAAGATAAAATGTTAATACCTGACTGAGACTTACTTCATGCTTACTGATACAATGGACAATGCACGAATATCCTTTCAGTCAAAAAGCACAACTGGAAACACTCACAAATTTGACCTGGCGATAAATTTAATAATCAATCCTCATAAGCATTCTCCTCTTTGAGCCGAGGGTCTCCTGGAAACAGCCTCTCTGCCCCTCGGGGTAGAGGTAAGGTCTGCGTACATATTACCCTCCCCAGACCCCACTTGTGGGATTACACTGGGTTGTTGTTGTTGTTGTTGTAATCCTCATAAGCATTCTACACTCTAGGCATAGATCTTTTGGTTCTATATTGGCTACTAATACACATCAATAAATTAAAAATCCTCCAGAAAGACATTTTGTATTGATTTTTCTTCTTCTATGACTAGGCAACATAACATAAAATGAAGTCACACATTGTAATGGCACATCCCTGAACATGTCAATCAGTTTGCCAACTCCCGAGTTTAACGATTCTCACTTTCATCTCTTCACATATCACGCGACATTTACTAGCTTTGCACGTCTAGTTTTGGGGTCAACTTCTACTTGAAGCCCAAGTCGAGCAAGTTCCGGAACATCTGCAGTTCCTTGAAGCTCTAAATCAGCAACAGCCCCTTGGTTTTCTGCATTTCCTTCCAATAGGTTTCGCACACACCAGATTCCCCACTCCCTTAAGAAAGGATTATCATCATCTGTAACACACTGTTGTAGCAGTAAAAGGATCCCATTTTTATCTCTAATCTCATCTTGGACGTGCCTTCTACTATAAGCACAGTTTCCAAGGATGGCAACAATATCTCTCCGGAAACCTTTGTAAGGACAACACCTCAATGACGAAGATGATGTTGCCTCCTTGATCTGATCCTGTGTCATTGATTTCCTAATTGTCGTTGGAGGTTCAAGATTTCGAAGTAAGTCCAGAAGAAGTTCAATAAGCCCAGAGGAAACTAATATATCCACGACATCCTTTGGACCTTCCTCCCTAGAGCTTGTCAGGTGACCACAAGCGCAAATATCTCTCAAGATCACGAGTGAGTATCCTAGAACATCAATAGGAGCAGACCCCGTCGGAAGATCATCTTTCCCTCTGTTTGAAAAGTCAACAACCACTGCAGAACTCTTAAATATCCCGAAGATACTTAAAGCAAAAACATGTGAAACAACAATATGCTCTAATTGCTCATTCAAGATTTCTGAGAGGATACTCAACAGATGAGCTTGCTCACTAACAAATTGGTAAGCTAAGTGTGTAACAATATCATTGTTCTTAACACAAGGATGTGAATGTAACTTGAAGAAAATTGAGGAAAAGTAGGAGCCTTCGATGCAAATTTTTGAAAGAAGCAACTTCAACCAATCTTCTCTGAGACCAACTGCAAAAGGGTATGATGAAACCATAAGCCAATCATGGCTACCAAATAAGAAAAAGATAATTTTTTTGGGATACATTAGAGTGATAATATTCACTGGCATTTACCGGCTGATGAAGTACATATGATTTCTTTAAGAATCGGCAACCCTTGCTCCGAACTTAACTCTGTTAGCAGTCCATCAGTACCTTCACAGCAAGTGTAAATGGCCATACATAGAGGATCACATATTTCTCTGCTTCTAACTCTAGCAATCTTCAAGAATCTATGAGGAAACATTTGGTACCACACATCACATTGATGTTCTCTCCCAGCTACTGAGTAGTTTCCCAGAAGTTGCAGCCCCACTCGGATAATCTCACAATCAGGATCAATAGTAAGTCCTACTGAGGTAATAACATCCATGACTGTTTCAACTCCTCTTTGTTCAAGAAAGGCATTTTGATTTCTTATCTCCCCAGCACACATGTTTCTAAGTGCCTTAAGAGACAATAAAAGGAGGTAACGCCAAGAGGGAGATGACAGAGTCTGACAGAGTTGGAGGAGAGCGGTGACAACGTTCTTAGTGGACAGATCAAACCTTCTATCAGGAACTTTGGCAATTTCTATCAGCTTCTCAAGTGCCTTTTCTAAAGAAGCTGAGTTTGACACAAGTAATAATGTTTTGGTAACATTTTCGGGGACAGAAAGCTCTGGTACAAATTTATCATCCATAACCTAACAAGGAGAATAGAAAAATAATCAAATGAATGAAGGGTCAGTAAGTTCAAACAACTTTCTCAATTGCCTTCTCGGGGACTTTGGACAAAAAAAAGACCATATTTAAGTCTTTATCCCAACAAAATACATATCATTTCATATCTGCCATAGGAAAAAAAAAACAAGACTACAAAAGCTACAAAATTAGTATAAACACAATCAAATGAATAGGACCACAAAACCCACACAATGCATAAATAGCATTAGCTAAATGCATGCGAGAAAAAAAAAGGATTTTATCATTGAATAGGTAAGCCATTGGAATATGAAATGAAAAATAATGAAGGTTTAGCTGCATTTCTTCTTCTAGATATGAAGAAAGTCATATCTAGAAGCAATGCTATTTCTAAGGGTATTCCGGAATGTATTGTGCAAGTACAATAAAAAAAAGAACGTTTTACAAGATTGAACTTTGGAAAATTCAATTCTACAGGACGAACCGTTACTTTAAGTAAAAAGTAAAACATCTTCTCCAGAATTGGATAAAAGCATGAAGAAAATCACTTTACCTCATTCTGAGGTAAGAAAGAAAAATATACTAAGTAACTTCCAAATATTTCCTTTAAAGAAAACAAATCAATTAGCCCCACTTTCCCTTCTACTGTCGTTTGTTTCTGAGCTAAAAATCTCAAGAGCTGATCAAGACAATCAAGCCTTATGGAAATCTTCACAAATTTTTTTCCGAATAGAACTTTTTTGCTTATGCCTGCAAGTTCTTTGTTTAAGGAGCTTGTGTAATTAAAGAAAAGGAGGCATCTTTCTTGCTCATCCTTAATGCACCAACATATGTCACCTTTAATAGGTGAACTAACAAGACCCTTGCGCTGAACACTTACAAAAAGCTCATAGATATGCTGAAGGAAGATTTTCTATCTTAATGCTCATTTATTCTATTTGACATATTCAGAATTATACCTTAATTTGGAATGACATCTTTTCTTTAATTATTTTAATTATCTCAACTCATAATGCGCAGAAAATGTTTTTGACCAAGTCCAGTTTTGCTTCAAAAGCCTAAGAGTGGCAAGAAAGGAAGAACCCTTTTTTTCATTCTCAAACTTGTGAAATTCTATCGAATGGAAGAAATGGTTAGTTGGTTACAAAAGCTATACTTAAAATCTTAATGCAGCGAAAAACAGGCACCTAACATGGAAAAAAGAAGAAGAGAAGATAAGATAAGTACCAATGTAGAACCTTAAGTTTCAAGAACATATCAATTCGACGTAACAGAATACTCAACCACAACAAAGTGGTAGCAGTTATTGTGATAAATAAAAGTGAACCAGAAAGTTATGAAAAAAGAGAACGTCATATTTCTGCAACAAAAGAACACATTCAAAGGTATTAGCAGTTTCAAATTTAAAGAGGGACAAACGATAAGGGCCCAGAAAGAAATCAAAATTCAAAACCATCCTTCAAAAGTTCCAATTTCAAAAAAACAATCATATACCAAATAAAGATATCAGAAAAATCGAGCAGTTCTTGTTCAGACAGATCAAAGAATGAGGAAATCAATTTCAGACCCTCTGCAGTTCATATGAATCTTATCACAACTACTAACAGCTAAAACCCTAAAAGGGACTAGTACATTACCTCAATAAGTAGATAATAAGATAAACGATAGGTGAATCTTGGCTTAAATAAATAAGTTTAGAAATAATTCATAACACTTTCACTGAATGATATATCGTACTTAGGTTGATTTTGATTATGATATTTTATGTTTGTTCAAGTTGAGCTGAGTTCCGCTGTACAATTAAGGCATTGAATATTCACAAAACCAGGCATTGCATGTTCATACCTCTCTTTCCTTTGATTCACGGGTCATCTACCTTATTCTGCAACTTCATATTTTATGCCAGGTTGAGAGGGCTGAACTTGAAACTTTTGAGAAGGTGACCATGAAATTGGGATAACTTGAAGTTGAAGTTCTTTCTGCCAAGCAAGTAAGCGATGTAAAAAAGCTGTCGATGTACATTCTTTTAAATTCATGATTTATGTGTTATTTAAAATTCAACTGGAATATGTGGATAGATAATTTGTCTCAGTTAACAACCCTTTCTTTTTCTTGTTCAACTTTCGCATAATTGAGTTGTAAGAGCTTCGTAGCGAGCTTCATTGAATTATATTTTTTTCTAATTATTTAACCTTCCACCCGGTATGACGATTTAGCAACCATATTGCTCTTTAAATTCAGGTCACCTGTTTGTATATTTTTCATTAATCATATTTCATTGCATAGGTTCTGTTACTGAGATTTTTCATTAATCATATTTTGTAGCATAGAGTCAAGGGACGCTTGAAAGAGAATATAGCCCCACTACACATATATCATAGGAAACCACGGTATGCTGCACTTGGTTACTGAAGCTAAATGTTTTAGGTTTAAAGTCTAACCAAAAAAAATACACCAGTCAGAACTTAAGTTCACACAACCCCAGCTTAATTGAACTCGGCCAAGCATTTTCTCAAACACAATATGTGCACACTTTAAAACCCTAGCTCTCCCAAATTCCTCAACAGCTCATCTCAAAAAAAAAAAAACCATAAGCACCAACAACAAGGCAAAATCTCGGGAAGAGATTCAAACATTGAGGAGAACGGGAAAAGAGAGTTCGGGAAATAGCAAGAGGAGAAGAAAGTTGCAATGACTGAATAAAATTACAGAGCAAGGGCCAAGAAGAGAGAGTAGTTGTCGCATACCTGAGAATGTTAGAAACGCCGGAGAAGTTGCTGCTCTCTTGAAGAATCCACAGTCATAGAGAGACGGAGAGAGCAGAGTAAGAAAGTTTCGGGAGAACCTAGCGGGCAGCGGCTAGCGTTAAAACGTTTCCAACTGGGGAAGCCGGGAAGGGAGGAGAAGTGGAGAACCTTAGCACGCGGCTGCTAGAAACAAATGGGAAGTGGCGAACTGCGGAACTAGGAAAGGGATGATACTCCGTCTGATTTTTTTGTTTTCTTTTGAGGTCTAAAACAAGTAATTTTTCGAAATATTTCAAGAATGATTTAATTATTTTTTTTCTATATTATTTTTGGAGTAAATAATATTAGAGTATGTGTAAGGAATATTTATGTGAAGAGATAGTAAAGGTTAATATGATTAATTTTATTGCTAATTAATGCTAAAAGATAAATTTCTTAATATATGTAAAAATAACCAAAAAATCACTTACTTTGGACGGAGGAGTATCGAAATATTGAAAAAATCATACGTAATTAGTATCAACACCGAAATACGGAATTAATTCGATCTATTTTTTCATATTTCGAATTGTATGCTCACCTAAATTTTATGTTTATAGAGATTTAGTTCGTCAAAATTATAGCTTATCTCAGTTCCGACACTTATCAGTATTATCATATTTAACTTATGATGTTGCTTCAAGTCCTAAGGAGAATTTAGTCATTCGGCGCAAGGTTGATGGAGAGCTGTCACACCTCCCTTTTTACACCCCGAGAGAAGTATAAGGGTGTTTTTCCAATTAAAGTGACATTATTTGAAATGAGATTATTTAATTTATTAGAGTCTCACTTGGAATAGTTTATTTGGTGTCCCAAGTCACCGGTTTATTTTAAAATCCCAAATCGAGGAATTTTTTTTTAAAGTCTGCGATCCAGAAATTCTAGATAAGGAATTCTGTTAACCCGGGAGAAGGTGTTAGGCATTCCCGGGTTCCGTGGTTCTAGCACAATTGCTTAGTGATTATTACTTGGCTTAAATTGTTTAACTACTCATTTTAGGACCTATGTGCATTTATCTTTTTACCACTTTTAATCACTTGATTATTCGTAATTAAAGAATTGAGTTACGCGTACGTATACTATTTTCCTTTGGCGCGTCAAAAGTCATGTCACGCGAACGTGTCCACAATTAATAACGCTTTGTTTATTTATTTAAGAAGAGTTTGGTTGAAGTTGCACGAACGCATACCTCGAGTTTTTTTTTTTAAGAATTTAATTTGCAATTATACTACGCGAACGTATATATAATCGCAATACTAATCTAAATCGGGCCTAAAGCAAACTACGATGGTTTGAATTAAGAAGAAATTTGCGAGGGCCATGGAAAATTTAATAATGGCATACCTCGAATTATTCTATTAAAAGGATTCCTAAATTTAGTTTTGAGGGCTATAAATTGTTGGTGTTATTTAATATGGCACACCTCAACTAATTAATGGACCTAGTTAAAGGATTGAGAGACTAAGGGGAATTTCTAATTTATTTTAAAAGCAAATGTCTAAGCTAAACTTTAATAACCAATGAACTAGTAATAAACAAAACCAGCGTTTGATTGTTGAATGGGCCCAGGTTGGCTGTAGGCCCAATGGCCAATTGCCAATTACTATATGACCAGCACAAGCAAACAACTGGGCTCAACATGAAGCCCATATTGATAATCTGGCTGTCGAAGAGAAAATTTGGCATAACTGGGCCAATGCTGACAACCCAGTTTAAAGATTCAGCATTAAACACTTGAGAACAGACACAAAAAATTGACGATCCTTGGTAGATGCAAAACACACTTTTTGATGCCAACATACATTCTATATGGAAAAAATAATTCCTAGTATGATAAACAGCTCTTACACAAATTGTTCATCATTTAACATTAAAAATTCAAGGATCACGCCTCATGCTAAATTCTGATTCAGACCAGCACCTTTAAACAAAACCATACGACTCGAAATTTTCCAAATAAGACAAAAGGTAAAGAGTTAATCTAAGTTTGAGAATTTTCAAGTCTAAAATCAAACTCAAAATCCATTTTGAAAACCCTTTTAGATTCAAGGTGCTCATACATGAACAAAAGCAAAATTAAGTGACAAACTCTGAAATCGTTGGACTATGTTTCAGGCTTTAAATATGGCAAGCCAAAAAAATAATTAATGGAAAACAAGACCTAAATCAAATTTGCTAGACCAACAACATGAATGATCTAAACTAATAAGTATTTAACCCATAGCTATGAAAAAACACATCCAAAACTAGCCAGTCTCAAAGAATCTAATTAAAGAGTCACAGTCCTCAATTGATACATATTATACTAAGTCTAAAAGCATTCTTAAATCAAACTACATTCAAACCAAATCCCAAATTCAAACCTTGAAACAACATATAATATTAGTGAATGAAATACACAGAGTAAGCTAGACTAGAAGAAACATGAATAAAATATGACAGATTCGATCAGTAATCAACAACAGAAGACTAGTATTTGTCATTTTTTTTTTCAACTTGGGTTACATGTTTTCACATTTGTACATTACACTTCCCAGGTTATCCAAGGTTCAAAAGGATACCTGGAATGTATGAGAAAAGACAAAGGGAATGAAGAGTTAGCAGCATCAGCAGAAGCAAATCAACAGACCCAGCAAAACCAAGGTAAACTAGCAATAAACCCAGCTTTAAACCAATTTTAGACCCATAAATAAACCAGAAATTATTGTAGATTTCAGCTACTAGAACAAAATAAGTCACTCGACCAGTTTTTCAACAGGAATTGCAGAAGATTCAGCTTGAAAGTTTAGTCATTTTTCTAGAATTTCAGTATTTTTTGTCTCTCAGAAATTTCTCCAAAATCTGACTTGAGAGTGAAGCAATTACCCTTTTATAGTGAAGTTTTAGGGCAACAGAATGAGTTCAGACTTTGGCCCTTTACTCCTTTTAGAATTTTCGTTTTTGTTACTATTCCCTTAATTTAAAATCAATTTTTTCAAAATCAGCCTCAAACCCACCTTCCAGGAAGCTTCCCAAGTCAGTTACAAATGATTCATTTACCTAAATTCCTTAAACTACCCCTTAAACCCCTGGTATTTACTTCAGTAAACCAAACCTTCAACCAAATTGCCCAAAGGTCTTTGGGCTACTGCACTAGCAGGTTCTTGAGGCCTTTGGGCTCCTGAACCCTTGAAGCCCAAATTGTGATCCAAAAGACCACGGGCCATAAATAGGTAAGCCCAAAATTCTGCCATTCCGGCATCAAGAAAGAAAAAAATCTAATGGAGCAAAACAAAAGGAAAAATGAAAGCGAGACAACAAGCAAACATAAAATCAAAAGTACTGAAAAAAATGTTAATTACACTAATATGCTGATAATCACTAATATAACCTAAATCTAAACATGCAACAGAGATCGACTCGAACTAACAAAAGAAGGAGAAGGAAACAAGAAGAAATAGAAATATGTGACTTAAAATACATACAAAAAATGAACAGAAAAGATAAGAGATAAAAGGAACGAAAATAGAAGAAGATGAGAATGGGAATAAACAAAACAAAAATGATGAAAAGCAACGAAATTCCTAGCTTAGTCAAACGGGAAAATGGCTTGAACAGACTTTCAGTGCTTTCCGATTTGAGGCGAAAAAGACTGCTAATTGATTTGTTCTTGTGAGAACAAAGGTTTAGCACTCATTTTGGCCAAAATCAACTTTGAAAGTTAGAGAACAACGAAACCAAACCTTTTAATGAGGAACCGAAGGCGGGAACGGGTCTAGGTTTCCATTTTAAGATCTGAAATTAAGGAAAAACGAAGAGGATTTAGGGGAAATTGATGGTGGTTTAGTGTTTGAGGGATTATGGGGAGTGTGTGGTGTTAATTTGGGGTTGATTGGAGTTCTATCACTGGTAAAAATGGCAGAAATTACTCAGGACGGCACTGGTTTGATGAGGGAGATGCAAGACAGGATCAGTACAAAGTACTAGGTTAAATGAAGGGATTTCAGACACTTTTAAAGAGAATTGGGGAAATAACTTGGGGTCATTGGATCAAATGGAATAGAGGGTTCATATTGGATCTCAGTGTTGGAAACTCAGGACATCGTCGTTTGAATGAGCGGACTGGGCTGGTACAATTTGGGCCGGCCTAGATAGGTTTCTGGGGGAATCAATTGGGCTGATGGAAGTTTAATTAAAACTTCCCCAGACCAGACTTCTCTTTCAATTCCTTTTCTTTTCTTTTAATTTTTTTTTAAAAAAATCAAATTAAAAATAAAAACCTAAATTAATTCTTAAAACTAAATTAAACTACCAAATTATATTAATTACTCAACATAGTATTTACAATAATTAATTAAATCCTAAATTTAAAGAAAAAATTATAAAGTTCAGAATCAAAGAGTTAAAATGCAAAATGAACTATTTTTGTGATATTTTCATATTTTATAAACAACTAATTTACTAATTAATCTAAAAATATAAAATTAAGCCCTAAATGCAAATGCAATGTATTTTTTTGTATTTTTCATGAATTAAATAAAAATTAAATATGCACACAAAATGCAAATAATTAGAAAAATTCTACAATAATTCCTAAAATAACAAATAGTTAAAAGAAAAATCCAATTCTTTGGGATTCTATAGGAGTAATTCATGTGAGGCAAAAATCACGTGCTCATAGCTGCCCCTCTTTGCTCGGAGACACGAAGGGTTTTCGGGCAAAGATAAAATGAGCGATTATGAGGGATTTTTGCCCGTTTAAAACTCCATGAGAAGCATTTTTGAAAAGATCCTGACCGAACCTTGCTTCAAAGGTTTCCTACATATCTTTGGCTATAAAGGAATCAGGTTAGTGTAGTTCTGGAAGTTTTGGTAGCTGGGACTATCAGGAAGCTGTGATTTCACTGTTGTTGCTGCTGCTACTGCTTGTTGAACTCCTTATTACACCAAAATAAAAAATAAAAAGCTAAACTAGCTAAGCCTATCAGCTACGAGTTACAAGATTCCTATCTATAAATCTTCTGAAGCCTGATCTTGAGTCTTGGCTGGTTCTTGTTGCAGACTCTAATCTGAATCTTGATGCTCATTAGCTTTAAACCGTTGGTTCATTCTTTAACTTTGGATCAAGGTGTGACACACGAAGCTTGTGACTTCAATCATATCATGAGTAGTCCGCATCCTTTTCCACTTCGGCCCTTTGAGTCCATTTCTTTTTGCTTTTTTCTTATT